GGGCTGGGCTGGGCTGGGCTGGGCTGGGCAGGGCAGGGCAGGGCTGGGCTGGGCTGGGCTGGGCGGCTCCTTCCTCCCGTGGGGAAGGGGCTTGGAGGAGCCTCCCGGGATGATGGGGGGAGGGATGAGTGCAGGAATGTGTGGAGGGGGTCCATTCATGCTGCCAGCGTGTTTGGGGACAGGCAGGAATTGTCCCCACGGCTGTGCATGAGGACAGTTACGGACAATCGCCCCTCCAGCACATCCAGCTCAAATCCCACCTGTCCAACACGGCTGAAAGGGAGAAAAGTTTGGCCGAGGAGCCACCACGGCTTCCCCGAGCTGGGGGGACCTGCCTGGCACTGACGGGGCCAGGGTTGCAGACGGGGACACAGGGATGGGTTGGGAGGTGCCACAGCACCCATCATGCATGGCCTGCGACGAATCCTGCACCGAGGGAAGAAAGGAGGGACAAAGGGGAGCAGGGAGAAGGGAGGACAGCACTGCCCCGTGCAGCTGCAGGGATGGAGCCACTGACAACCCGTGAGGACCGAGCTCCATCCCGTTCCCGGGGTGCAGATCCTTTCCCCCAACCCTTCCCCAGCATCTCCTCCCAGCCTGAGCACCGGCAGGATGAGCCCAAAGCCCCTTGCCCTGCATCCCCGTGCCATCAGCCCCCGGCTGTCTTGCAGGAGCAATCGAGTTAAAATGAAGTAATCACTCTTCAAGTACAGTCGTTTGCAGGAAAAATATAGGACTTGCTGTGATTGCAAATGGTTTCCACTGCAACCATCCCTCCCACTTGAGGGAGAAACGTTTTCAGCGCCGGGGTGCTCAGTGACAGCAGCCTCAAGCTCAGCCAGTGTGGCCATATCACATCTCATGGCTTCTCCCAGGCTGGGGATCAAGAGCTGGGATTTGGGGCTTTGAATCTCCTAGGAGCCAGCAGTACCTTCAGGAGGATTCTTTTGCTCTCAGATATCTCTGTAGAATGTCAGGCTGAGGGAGAGAGGCTTCCCTGAGCCCTTGTCCTGGAGCCCAGGGATGGAGCTGCAGCACCCACTGGTTCCCCCCAAACCACTGGGTGAGCATTTCCACATTGACCACACCAAAACCCTTTAATTTTTGTCTTATTTCAGAATACTGCCTTTTGCTGTCAGCACAGTAATTCCTCATTTTTCCCCATTAAACCCACAGGACACAGAACCCACCACGCCCTCCTCAGCATCGCTCCCAGCAGTGCCTGCCCTGCATCAAACAGCTCTTACGGAGCTGCCAGGGCACAACACCCTACACTGAATTTTAAGCAATTTCACCCCCCAAAAATTTTTGCCTTCTGGGTTTTTTTTTCCTTGTTTTCCCTTTGCTCCAGTCTCTCTCCCTTCCATATCCCCCTTTTTCAATACCTGCACCTATCACACCCCCATCCATCTCTAACGACTCTCTGCTATTTTCTCAAATCACCTGCCTTTTGCTAATGCCAAAATCCTTTTTCTCTCTTATCAGACAAAATAGATTATCTCATCCTGCTGTTCTCCTCCCTGTCTGTCCGGCCCCAAGCGCTCAGACGCCCGCCACAGTGCCGTGGCCGGATGTAATAGGGCTATTAGATGAGTTATCACAGCCTGAAAGGATGAAATAACTTCTGTGCCTTCATCCAAATAAAACTCCCTATTCCTGCTCAGTGCTACGAATGAACAAGAGATCTCAGGGGAAATAGCCAGGGAAAGGTTAGAAGATGTTAGAAGGTATTAGAAGATGTTATTTAAGACCCAACCCTTTGCCAAGCCACCTCTTGCTTTGGGCTCGAAGGGCACTGGGGTTTCTCCATGTGGAATTGGGAAGTCCACGGATCAGTGCCGACAGCCAGAGCTAAATCCTCACCCGGGTGCTGCTCCAACATTTTTTGAGTGTTCATTGGCACAACCTCACGAATGCCCCTCATGTGGCAGAATCCTTGGCCTGCCTGCATCCAGCAAACTGTTGTTTTCTCACCCCTGGTACTAATTCCGAGGAGAAACTTTGCTTTTCATCTCAGAAGGAGCTGTCTCAAGCTGTCCCTGCATTTCCCAAGAGCTCCATGCAATGTCCCCAGATGTGCAGGTGGAACATCCAGCCCGGCCCACGGCAGCATCCCAGCCCCTGTGGGAGATGCTCCGGAGCCAGCTGGGCTGGGAGCCCCTGGCCAGCCCTGAGTGACCTCCCGGTGCCACCAACTACCCCTGTGGGGTTTTACAGGGATTTCCTTACAGGGATGTAAACTCCCAGGCTCCCAGGCTGGCCAGGAATGGCCCAAGGCAGCAGCTCCACTGCAGAATTTAAAATCCCAACACTTATTAGGACTCTGCTTGTTCCCCCTTATTCTGCTGCTCCACTAAACCCTCCCATTCCTGTCCTCTCTGGGGTGTGACAGATGTGGGGACATGGGGACACCAGGACACGGGGGCATGGGGACAGCCTTGGACACTTGCAGGGATGGGGAGTCTCAGAACAATGATCCTGGAGGTATTTTCCTAATGTCTAAATGATTCCACGATCCAGTGACCGTGGACCAAGATGCTCCTGTGCCCTGCACCCGTGCCCCTCGCACAGAGAGCTTGGCTGTGCCCACACCGACACCGTTCATGATTTCAGAGCGTCTGGGGACAAACCAGCGGGAAGAGGGGAAGGGGAAGGGGAAGGAAGGGGAAGGGAAGGGGAAGGGGA